TGATTCCTGCAAAATTACAACTCTGCAGTGCTAAGAGAACACCCAAACACTTTCCATCGGGTCTCCCTGCATTGTTTTTGATTGCTTCATGGAGTAATTTCAACAAGAAGTACCACATGCTCTYTCTCACATTGAAAAATGACATTTCATCATCCTGATGGTGTCAGAAGTGACAAAGGCATGTGTGGGGAGGGGCATGTGCCTTTCACCCCTTTCCAAGGCAAGCTGAGACCACACCTGTCTGCAAACAAAATCTTACCAGGCTTCACATCGGAACTCCTCACCCCGAGTCCTCTTCCTGCTTCTTCCCAGAGCAGAGCTGGAAATCTTGGAATTGTCATAAGGTTTTATTATCGCTTGCAAACCAGATTCTACTTCATCAGATAAAGACACAATCGCATTCATTGACTCTGACACAAGGATATGCATGGTGATAAACATACAGATAGATGTACACACTTATACATGAATGAGATATGCTAATTAAAAATTGCAGTGGGCACTTTATTAAAAATTTATTGTACAATCTACATCTTCAAAACATTTTACATCAACAAATATTGCGGCTTGACTGCTGGAATCATAAGTGATTTATCTTTAAAAGACTGTATTTGCAACTGGATGCAAAGATTCTTGATGAACTGCCATTACATTTAAACTACTGGTTTTTATTGGAAGTATTTTGATTGTTATCTGTTTGTTCTCCATCCTTGAGAGAAATAAAACAAGTGTCTCGGCTTTCATTTTATCGGATAGATGGCACCACGTAGCATATTTCCCATGCTAGTTTGAATTACAGCTGTTTATCTTTCAGCTTTCTTTAAGATTAATTAAATGCAAATGTAACTCCACGAATCATGGGATTACCTGCCAGACCCCTTATTAATACCTTCACTTAAAAACCCCTGTGCCAGAGAGTCATTAATTTGCAAAAAAAAAAAAAAAAAAAAAAAAAAAAGAGAGAGAGAGAGAGGGAAGTGCTGGAGCAGCCCCTTTGCCTCCCAACAACCCAGAGATGGCTGCCCAATTAGCCCGGCAGCATTCGGATCCTCCTTTCAGGCCCTGTGGCCCTTTGAGGACACAATAAGGCTCCAATGATAACCTGGCAACCTAGGTAGAAACTCAGCCAAGTGTGAGCGTTTGAAGCTGCAGCTTGGCTGCCATCGTGTCGGCGAAAAGAAAGAATTCAGGCACCATGTCATCCAGTACAAAGGATAAAAACAGATTCAACCGGAAATTCAATGTGGCACCACATATGGGATACATGAGTGCGGTTACACAACAGGCCACATATTTTTTTTGAACAGTCTCCTGCATGTGATGCCGAGGACATGTGTAACCATCATAACGTCTCTAAGAATCTGTATTTAATTTGAGCTGGGGTGGTGGCAGGGATTGGAGATCTGAAGCCGCCACAGGTTTGTGGCAGATGGCTCTGTGTCAGCTATGACAAGCAGCCAGGCTCGGCTTCCTCTGCAGATTTTCTTTTCTCTCTGATCAGGTAAATATGGGCACACTCTGGAAACTTCCACAATTCTGCCTGAGGCTGCAAGTTTGTGACTTAGCCCCATCTGTCACAAATCTTCCCTCGGTTCTGCTGCGAGCAGAGACCTGAATTTACTGCCGAGCGCTGCCCAAGAAAACCCGGCCGTCTCGCCCTGCGAGGAAGAACAAGAGAAGCACACGGAACCCTGTTAGAGCCTGGGACACAACAGGGACATCTCTCATGCAGGAAGGCTTTCAGGAGGGGTGGAARGCAGTTGGTGTTATTTGAAAATAAGGGGGAAGTCAGTGAGGTTTATTTTCAGGTGAGCTGGTCATCAGGTTCAGGTTTTTGCTCCCTCTGCTTTATTGATCTCAGTGAACTGAACAGTGAAGTGAATTGTTCAGCAATGCACCCCTCTCACCCTCAGACACAGCAAAACTACGAGACAGCAGGAGACAGCACYTAGCTCTGTTTGACCATCATTAGCTTGGGCTTTACTTGAGAATAATCATTTTTGTGAGGAGTGATATCCCTGCAAAGGTCTGGACATTCATTTTTTCACGGAATAAAATTCCATCACTGTCATTCCATCAACAGTTCCTAAATATGTGGAGATCAAAAGAAGCAAAGTTTTCATATAAAGCAATATTTTCCTATAAAGAACAAACAGCACAATRTCAGTAGCAGCATAGTATCTTTCATGAAATAATCAACTTGTTTATAGTGTCMTAAAATCAGAACTGAAGCACTTAATATCTACTCTGCCATCATTAGACTTCAGAGCTAACCTTCAGAATTTAATAAGGAGTGTTCATCCATTCAGACTGGCTGTCTCAGGATAGTTGGAGTTCAGGCACACAGCAGTGATTTAGTGTAGATTTTATGCATTTTTTTTAAAAATCACCTCAACAAGATTAAGATTTAGAGACTACCATTCCACACAAAACCTGAGTTTTGGCAGGCAAGACTAGAGTGATTTTACAGAGCCAATTTGTATTGGGTCAGATCTACTCTGTGATCCAGCTACTCCCTCTGCAAGTGAGTAAGGGGGAAGAATTGAGATGGAAAACAATTTGCAGCAATTATTTTTGGAGTTCAATTTTCAAATTTTGATCACCTGTGGAAACCACTGTCAAAAGACACTGTTGCTTTACATGAATTRGGAGCACTGTGAGGAGAGCTATTTAACACACCTCAGTAAAGCAACAGCACTTCTGTTTCTTACATTGGACTTYTAAAACTCATCTCATTCTTGCTGTCTTTAAACAAAACCCATCAAATTTTGGATGCAAATCCATGCAGTACCTTGCACAGGATGGTTCAGAATACACTGACTCACTACAGCAGCAGGAAAACAGTTTCAGTCTTCTTTTCTCAAGGTAATTAGAATAAACTTTACTGGGAAAAAAAAGAAGTTTTCATGCTTTTTGCAACTTTTCTTCCTATTTTCTTTGACCCATTTCTCTACTGTTTTGAAGTGACTGTGGCTCATCTGCCAGTTTTCATTTRCTTTCTAAAACTCCCCTGGAAGCTATCTAATAATGTCAGAATGAAAAGTTCCAAGTCCTGGTGTTTATGTTGAAAGTTGCCCCCATGACTGCTTTAGTCCTGCTCTGCAAGTGCAGCCAACTGCTGTGAGCTGCACACCAACATTTGGGGATGTGGTGATCATGGCAGTGCTAGATTAATGATTCACTCAGTGATCTTAAGGGTCTTTCCCAGCCTAAATATTTCTGTGATTCTGTGATTTTTCAGAGAGCTGAAATCTGGATATTTACCTTGGAGAGCCAAGAGCAAGGAAAGCTCAGGGAGATGTTCAGGTGCAGGCCAGCTGCACACACATATATCTACACATATATCCATTTATCTATGGCTGGATCCCAAAATTAGCGAACTCCAACAGCCCTTCCAGCCATCTGATTTCTTCCACAGTGAGGATCCATGTTAGCCAGGAAGATGTCCCTCGACCACAGTTGCCTGAAGACCTAAGGTTGACCCAAAATACCCAAATTGTGTCCCACAGCCCAGGAGACCTTCCCATCTGTGCAAACTCCTGAGTTAGAGAGGGATTTCACCTCTATCAGCCATACAGGGGGACTGGAAGGTGTCAAGACTTGAGCCTAACCTGGACATGAGCAACTTAATCCAAATTTGAAGTCAGATCCTACTTTGAAGCTGGCCCTGCTTTGAGCAGAGGCTGAGGCACCTTCCTTCCAGTCTATAAGTCTGTGCTTTAAATAAGTAATGGAAGTTTTCTTCACAGTATAAAAATTCTGATGTTTTACATACTTAGGATCACTGAGCACTGGAACAGAGATGGCTGAGCATGGACACAGCAAACTACACTCCAGAGCTCCCAGGCTCCTAAACCTTCCCACACAGACTCTGAGAAGTTTGAGACCACAGAAGACCCAAAACACCTCAGAAAGCATTTTAAATCAYATTCACTGGAAACTGAGCAGCTCAAGAGGCAAATACAAGTCTCTCACTTGTGTTTCTAACCTCCTTCTGACCTGCACCTAATGCTAGCCAGGTAAAAGCAGGAATTCAATACAATTCCTTCTTTTTTAATGCTGCAAACATRCTCTGCTAATGAACAGAAAGCCAGCAGGATGGATGGAAATGCTCACACTATTTGCATACCCTATAAAGCTCTGAATTAACTTTATCAGCCCGGGACAAAAGATCTGCAGAACACTGTAAGCAAACATCTGCTCAATATACATTCACCATTAAAAAGTAAACAGGAGGATTGGCTCCATAAGGAACAGGTTGGAAATTATCAGAGTACTACACATCACATAAACCGATGGCAAGGCCTAGAATTCTCAAAAGMAATGATCACAAAAACAGCTCTCAAGCATCAGAACGGCTTGAATGATGAGAGATTAGAATATAAACATGGAATAACATTCACAAGGAGAGACTGAAGAGATTAGGATACTGTAAATGTTTGACAAATGTTTATAAAATAATGGATGGTACAGTAAAGATGGATGGRGAGCTCCTGCTTCCAGGCAGACAACTCCAGAACACACTCAACGCAACTGAAGGTGGGAAAAGCCTCAGCTAATTCAGGAAATTATTTAAACAACATCATAAACACATAATAGAATCATGTGTTTTGGTTTTGGTTGGAAGGGGCCTTAAAGACCAYCTTGTTCCAACCCTCTGCCATTGGCAGGGACACCTTCCACTACACCAGGGTGCTCATGGAAAAACAAATTTCTCGTGGAATTTTGCTGGAGATTGGGYAAGGATAAAGGCAGAGGCATCATCCCCAGCTCTCACATGGCTTGTACAAGAACTGGGAACAATGGGGCTGATGGGACATCTGGCATCAGGCTCCCCTGCATCCTCATGTGCCTAATGCCCTGTAYCCTTACACTGAGAATGCCTCCGGCTGCTTCCCTGGCTTTGCCTGAATATGAAAGCTGGACCAGGAGCASTTTCCCCTTCTACACATTTCCCTGAAACACCCAAGAGACTGCTTTATCTCAAATCAGAGAAAAAAAAGGAAACAAAAAAAAGAAAAAAAGAAAGTTTTGTCAGAACTGCCCTGTACAGCCAAATCCTGAGACTGGAAACAATTCAGATGTCTATGGTGTAACTGGGATCTTAATTTGATTTTACAGCAGTTTAGTCCCTTTGAATTCAGCAGACTTCCTTCTACAGTGGTGTAAGAAAGAAAAAAATCACGCCATGTGTCTTTTCATAGGCAGGTGAGCTTCTGTAGTGTGATGGAAATGAGAAGATGAATGTCAGAAAGTGGGCCAAATTCTTTTCTCTGTTAAACAAGCATGAGTGAGAGTAGGATTTTTCTGTAGGAACTGAAGCTGACAGCATGTCAACCAGCACTCATTCAGCTGGGAGGGCTGGGAGAGATTATTTAAAGTTGTCAGCTCCTTCCATGCCTGGCTTTTGGCAACTCTTCTTGTCCCTTTCCACTGTATACTCTTTATACATGCTGTTTTAAATTAAGAAACTCAAGTGAGGAAACCGAAAGGTAAACTTTGAGAAAATAATGCAGAAGCAAATGCCTTGACCTATTTTATTTTATTTAGTTCTATTTTATTTTATTTTATTTTATTTTACCTTTAAATCTACTGGATAGGGCACTAACAGGTCCCGTGGTGTGTCCTGACCAATGCCCTGTTGTTACTTCCTTCATTCCAGTGCTTACTTTGGCAACCAAAACCACCCAGAACTACAGTTTGATTCCTTAAAACTGGAACAGAACAAATAATTGATAACAAATGAGATTTGCTTCCCTCTCATCTCAATCTTCTGCTAATAACTGGCAGAAGGCAAGGCTGAAATGCAGACGAGCCAGTCCCGAGTGCTGTGTGAATATGCAGGGTGAGCAATGCATCATTTGGAAAGGTTTTCATAGGTGCTTACATTATGGACATTTTTAAAAGTCTGCCAGCATGAATCTGCTCCATGGAGTTCAAGTACTACAGTTTAATGCCTTGCTCTGTGCATTTTCACAGGGATATTCCCCATGTCCAGTCCCTGAGCCCACTGCCCCCCTGCCATTTACCTCCTTTCTGCCCTGAAATTTGTCAGTACAAGCACCAAGGGCAACTGAAGGAATAAACTACTTGTTTAATTAGCCACTGTCTAATTATTATAGAATCCTGAGTAATAAAATCCCAACAATATGTTAAAGGATAARCCAAGGTGATTACCTCCCAACCTATGAAGCAGAATCCTCAACCAGCAGAGAAAAAACACTATTTGATTTTAAAGCACTTTTACTTTCAAAATTTCACAGATACTTAATAAACTCAATGCAGAGTATGGCAGGAAGATTTTTAACAGACAAGGAGCTGATTAGCATTGACTCTTGTGCTGGGATCCCTTTTCTAATCCACACTAGCAAAGTGAATATTAGAGTGATCTGAAAAAAGTGAAAATATGGTGCAAGTGCTGCGTAGCCTTCAGGATTTCACTCCTTTCAGCTTCCCTAAAAAGCAGCACCATTCCAGCTATAATGACCTTAACAGCACAGCTCTGATTTAGCATTTTCCAGGAGGTTTTGTGGATGGCCCATTGTGAAGGAAGGCCAGGTGTACGTGGGCGTAGGCACAAAAGGACAACTCTAACAGCATTCTCCRAGCTGATCCAAAGCCTATTAAAGACAACGGGATCTTTCCTCTGCTGCTCACAGGTGCTGGATTAGGCTCTGCTTTCCTCATTTTAAAACAATTCCCCACTCAGCTCCATTGCTACCTGTTGCAAAGGTTCAGCTCTGACACTCAGAAGATCTGCAAAGCCCATGCAYGAGGGGCAGTACCAACACCTTCAGCTTCTGCCTACAAATCATCCCAAGGAATTCTTTCAAAAAGGGAAAAATCCTTCAAGAAAATCAGCATTTTGCCTTGCACACACGCTTCCAACTATTTCATATCAGTATTTTTTGCATGCCTTGGCTCTGTGTTCACAGGCTGGGGATCCTCACGTTGGGAGAAGATCCATGTGAATGCAACCATTAGCTGAGCTTGGAGCACTGGGAAATGCCAAGGTAAACGTTTAAGGACTGTTTTCCCTTTGAAGCCCCCATGCCTAACTCTATGATACTATTGACTCAAGAAGTAATGCTGAACACTGGAAGTGTTCAGTCAGCATTTTAAACTATTATGAGCTACCTTCTGAACCATTGCCAAGTTAATAGACAATGAAAGATAATGAGCTTGAAATTGGGTGTTAAATTGCATTTTTGGTTCTCTCCTTTTTTTTTTTTTTTTTTTTTTTTTCTTGAGGTTTAACTGTTTCCTGCAGAAACAACATCATCTTTGATGTATCATTATGTAAATGTCTATTTTTAGGTCACAAAAAAAGCCAAGGCGTGAGCTAAGCCCTCGCTGCTCCTGCTCCATGTGTGCAGGAAGGGGGAGAGAGGCAGATGAGACACAGCAAGACCCAACATTTTCTGGTCCCCAGAGGGAGGGAGGGATGTGGAGGCATGAGGTTGGGTGTGTTGGCAGTATGAGACTCCAAATTAAGGAGGAGATTACTCCACTTGCTCATTAACAGTGTGGCTGGACGGCGGCAGCCAGGGAACGCTCCAAGAACCRCATTTGTGTCGCACGGGTTAACACGAGGAGCATTTCCATGCACCCCCAACCTTTAAGGACTTTCAGCTGAATTCAGGGGTTTTCGTGAGCTGAAACACCTCTGCCGTGCAGGGGTGATGTGTATCCAACCTGCCCAAAGCAGAGCCAGGACAGTAAAAGCCAAAAACCGCTGTAAATGTACCAAATCAGCACGCAGAAAACAGCAGTTGTTATTCTTCTGAAAGCAGCATCGTGCACTAACGGCTCTTCGCTGGAATAATGTAAAATTTAGTGCTTCATCTACATTCAAATTTAAAAATAAAATCTGACTTCCATCAATGTAGATACACCACTTAAAACCATGGGAGTTGGTCTAGCATCGAACACTTGAGCAAAATCTGAATGGAGGTGTTTTGCCCCTGAACCTGGACTTTCTCTACAAAAACAACTATAAAGATGGGGACATGATAAATACTAGTAAATTATGTTCCCAATAAACTTTAATGCTCAACACACCTTATAAAGTAAAGAATTAAAATAATTGTAATTATGAAAATCACTCAAATCATTCCAGAAGGCAAAGGAATCTTACCTGATACCTGTCACCTGCATTTTTWGAAGATTAAATTAGGATGGGAAGGTAGGCTTATCCTCATTAGTATAATTGTSGGATCTTTCTTTTATTTTCCTTTTAAAATAATGAGTTGCATTAATCCAGGTTCATTTTTATAAGCCTCTTGGGTCCAAATGTAAAGGACAGTCATTTTAGAAAACAATAAATTAAAAAAAAAGCATGTAGCCTGCATTAAGTGCACGTATTTCATAAGACCTAGGTTAATACAACTGGCATCTAGTTTAATTAATCCTTGTTAGTGTAACGACTAATATCCCTCCCTAGCATGTTTCCTTTAAACATTAGTATGTTAATTAAATGTTGTTTTTTTAAGGGTTTTTTTTTYCCCTTTGTACTTCAATATGGCATTATATCATCTAAAACTATTCCAAACAACTACCTTATAGAGATGTTTCCTTACAATATCTGGTCTCTTGCAGAAATTCTGAAGCCTTTTAAAAAGCTGTTCAGGTGTAGAATACAGATATTCAGCTGCAGGAAAAACAGATACATTTTTAATGAAACAAAAACCTCAAAGCACACACTCGATATTAGTCACTTTACTAATTAAAAATGCATATTGCTCTGTGCCGCCTCGTGTTTTACATTATTTAAGCATGATTTTATAAGGTTACCTCAGCTCACAAGGATGTTTAATGCTAAATAAGACTGTGTAGTTGTGCTGTTTAGACATCTCCTTTGGGTGATTAAAATACATTATTCTAATGTAACACAATGCATATGTGATACATTTAGTGATGAGATTTTTCAAAGAACTGGTACCACATTAGTGTGTATCCTGTACTGCAGTTGCATACTATTAAGTATTAAATTGTTTAAATAATTTGGTGTGATTTTCAGGCCTGGCTTTTTTTTCCCCCCCGCTTCTATGTATAAAAAAAAAAATCTGCAAACCATTGCAGCATCACTGACCTTTTAACAAAAATCTATCATTACGGGATGTGTATGCTAACAATGAAGAATGCTATTTCAAAACTTGCTTTTGTGTTATCTTAAAAGAACAGATGGCAAATATAAACTTCGTCTAATGTATTAAAACACATAAAATTTGCCTTAACACTAACATGTTGGCTTGCCAAATAAACAATTGCTTTCGCTCAAGTTTATTCCCAAACTTTGGATTTTAGCAGGAATCCCGTTGATACGTTTCAGCAGAAGGAATATGCAACAAAGCAGCTACCTGGGAATATCTCTGGGTACACCAAGGCTTTGGGACACAGCGGGTAACAGCCACAGTACACAGCCTCGATCCTGAGGATTAGAAATCACAAATACACAAAAATAGAGGTTAGTCAGCCAAAAAACTTATTTCCGTGCAAGAGCCTTGAGGTTGCCTACATGCAGCAAGAGGGAAACATTTTTTTTTTTTTCTTCAGCAGCATAATCCTTCTAAATGCCAAAGTTGCTCTTTTTAAAGAAAATTTTATTGATCATATGAATTACATAGAACAGAACAGCGAGCATATGTTTTGTTCGCTGAATAAATCAAAGCGCAGCTCTGCATTTTTTTGTTTTTTAAATACTGTTTAACACATTTTATAATCAGCAGACAGACACATGTAACAACATGGTGAAGTATGGACGGCTTTGCTTAATAATGCTGCTGGGAAAGCAGGGGCACGTTGGCTGCAGCGGGGTGTGCTCGCAGACACACACACCACCCTCACCTGGCACAGCAGAAATTCCCCCCAGACTTCCAGACTCCAAAGGTTACAGCTAAATATAACCCAGCAACAACTTGCAGCACGCTCCAGGCTGGGATATTTTAGCTTATTCACATGCTTTGGATAATTTCCTTTATTTTTCGGGACATAAACTGTTGTGTTTTTTAATAACCGCTGACGAAATTCCTTTGCCAAAGCGCGCGAAGCTTTGTACTCGTGGGTTTTGTTTTTTTTTTTTTCCAAGGAACATTTTACATATCTCCCGTAACATCAAACCCAAATATTTTAGAATCTGCACCGCCGTGGTGCAGAGTTTTCCAGTAGTGAATCTACAGCAGAGATTGTCCCCCTTGGAGCTCACATTTTAACAGCTGAATGGGTTAAARGCATCCAGGTTTCAGTTTATTTTTTTCACATAATGACCATTGATCTGACACAACGTCCCTCCAAAGATACAACTGTAATTTCTGTTGGCCAGAAATTACACACTGAAATTCAAAACACTTCTTAAAATATGTTTATTTTATGAGAGGCTTTGAATTTCCTCCAACATGTTGACCATACGAGGACTTTATTTTTAACTTCAGTTTCTCTCATTCCCCAGAATTAAAAAAAAAAAAAAAAAATCTGAAATCTTGTCAAAGTTCACCTTTTCTATTTTCAGTGACAAGGCAAAGGCTTTTGCTACCTTCGTGTGAATGTCAGGTTTGGTACTTTATTACAGGTACCCTGAAAGAATTCCATTTCCTCTAGATCTACTCAATTTTAAACAGGAAAAAAAAAAAAGAAAATAAAGAATAACATATTCAGCTTTCAWGCTAGAAACTATGCATATCCACAAACCCCAAAGACACATTTCTCTGCAAATGCTTTTGCTAAGAAATGACTGCTGKTTTTTTTCATAAACTTTTAAAATTTGTAATTTATGTT